TTTTTTTTGGGTTTTGTTTTTGTTTTTTTTTTTTTTTTGTTTTGTTTTTTTACCAAAAGTACTCTCACATTTCTTTCTTCATTACAGAGCAGAGGGCTTATGACTCCCTGAATAGATGGACTGCAAACAAACTCAATGCTGTTGTTGTGGGATTGGAGTAAGAGAATGTTTTTCTTTGCCTACTATGATTTTTGCCTTCACCAGGTAGAGGTTTGATTTCCAAATCAAGTTAGCTATGCCTGAAATATCAATTTAAAAAAATTATTCTATTTATTTATCACCATTGCAATGTAAACCATTCCTGAAGGGTCTACTATCTCATATTCTTCTGTGATTTTGGAAATCTCTGAGTAACTCCCTGAGTGAGCATTTTTGGATACACTTTTGCTCTAGACACTTAAAACTCAGGTCCCAACTCAAGCCCCAAGTAACATAGCTAGATAAGAAGATATAAATAAATCCTACAAATTTGGGATGGTAGATTATATTTGGGTTGGTAATAAAATGTTTTATAATAATTCTTGTTTGGAGTAATGTAGGAGGTAAAGGTTTGGATCAGCTAAGAATTTTAAGTCATTGTCAGGAAAAGTGAATTTTACCTTCTGGATTTTGCTAGAAAAGATCAGAATGTGTCAGGACAGTTCAATATTTTCTCATACTTATGCAGTATGTATTTCTGAAGCCGACATCCCCAGGAGGGATTTTTTCGTACCTCTCTTCCCTAGTCCATAGTAACAAAAACATACTTACAGACTTCTAATCTGTAATAGTGACATAGATTTGGGGTTTTTTTGTTGTTGTTTTGTTTTGATTTTTAGCTAGGAAGCTATGAAAGTTTAGAGAGAAAACTAAAGTGACAATTTGGTCATCTAAGGAGTGATTGCCAATGCTGTTTGTTTTGATTACTCACAGTGGCTAGAACCTCCTATTTTCAGGGATACTTCTCATTTATAACATTAGGATATATCCTTTATACCTCCATAACTTTCGAAGTAATCTAAAACTTATTTTAAATCTATTTTAATATACTGATATGTCTGTTTCTGGCTTATATATTTTATCATATCCTATGATTTGTGTTCTTTGCCCTAATGTCTAAATATACTGCATTTAAAGTAATAGATACCAACATACTTTGTTTAGGATTTTCTAAAGATAATTTATGATAAAATTTTAAGGGTCATCACACTAACATTTAATGTTAAGTACAGATATTTACTAATTTTGTTTTTCTAAAGAGCATGAGGAAAAAAGTTAGCCCTGATAGATAACAGGCTGATAGAACCATTCTCCTATGTTTACTGGTCCATGTACATAGTGGGGGAAAAAATCCATTTGTATCCATTAAAAGAATAGTGTGATAGTTTGCCTCAGAAATGAATTCATCAGAAACAATCTTCCTAGCATACTAAAAGGTTATTTATATTTCAAAATTTTTATCTAAAATCAACCCCTTGACATTATCCTTGGTAAGATATATACATTGCAAGCATGTAGGATTTTTATCCACATGATCTTGAAAAATGTAACACTTTCCCTATAATAATCTCTCAGATCTGCTGTCCTCAAATATCCATGGTAGTCTTTCAATAATTTTTTTAATGTTTGGACCTCCAGTTACATTGAGAATATGGTATAAACTATAGAGTATCTCCAATCTAAAATGCATGTGGACTAAAAACTATGCTTACAACTGTCGGAAGTTCCTAATATCTCCTTACCCCTCACACACAATGCTATCCGTGGAATGTAGATACAAGGTTGAAAACCTTTATATGAATTTTCTTTTCTTTTTTTTCCCATATACTAAGGAGTTAGTGGAAAACTCAAGTGTGATTTTTTTGACAGATTAAAAATAGAAACTGGTGTTAAATTGCATCTATTTGGTATTGAAAAACTACATGGAAAGATACAACCATAAATGGTACGTTATAAAAAATTGCTTAAATAAATCATTCTTTTTTAAAGCTATAGACTAGCTCCTCAACACCATTTTCCTGCTCAGTTTGAAGACAGTTTCACTGCAGTCAAATTTTTTCTTCAAGATAAAATTCTTAGAAAATATGGAGTGGATCCCACCCGAATCTGTGTTTCAGGAGACAGTTCTGGGGGCAATTTGGCAGCAGCTGTGACTCAACAGGTAGGTTGCATTTATTTTTATTCTGAGAGGTAGAGGTCACAAATCATTTTTTTTTCCTATACACATAACCAGTTCTTTCAGCATCATTTGTTGAAAAGACCATACTTTCTCATTGGATTACAGTGATACTGGAGTCTAAGATCATTTAACTATCAATATGACTATTTCTGAATCCTCTCTTTTGTTCCATTGACCTGTTTGTCTGTTCTTATGCCTGATACTATTCTGACTCCAGCTTTGGTCTTTCTTCAAAATTGTTTCTAATACTCTAGATCTTTTCTATCAAAATACTGGGATATCCTGTCAATTTCTAAAAACAAAAAGGCTAATTTGGATTTTGTATGGTATTGTGTTGAATCTATAGGTTAATAATCCTGGTACTTCCAATTAAAGTACATGGTTTATGTCATTTTTTATTTAAGTCTTCTTCACTTTCCTCAGTATTTTCCTTTTTCAGTGTAGAAATCTTACAGATCTTTTCTTAAATTTATTCCTGAATTATTTGGGAAAATTTTCATGTAAAATAATATTTTTCAAGTGCCTCTTTGAAAGTATTCAGAAATCATTTGCGTTTTACACTGACCTTTTACAATCATATCTTTAAAATTTTCACTTATAAATTCTAGGTTTTTTTTTTTTTTTAACGTTTCCTAGGATATTCTACATAGTCATATCTCCTGCCACTAGAGACCATTTTAATTCTTCCTTTTTAATCTTTATGCTTTTCTTTTATTAATTAGTGCACTAGCTAGGGCTTCCAGTACTATATTGAATACAATTGTCATTCTCTGAATTTTAGAAGGAAATCATTCAATATTTCACCAATAAATATGTTAACTGAAAGCTTTTTACAGTTGGCTTTTGTCAGGCTGAGAAAGTATTTACTATTCCTGATTTGATGATAGTCTTTGCATAAATAGATATTAAGTTTGCTAAATGTTTTTAATGGATCTATTGAGATTACAGTGTGATTTTTCTCCTTTATTCTTTTGATGTAGTAAGTTATGTCAGTTGACTTTCAGATGTAAAATTATGCTTGCATTCCAGACATTAGCCTCCCTGGTCATGATGACTTAAAGCTATTATATTTTGCTGGTTTCTTTTTGCTGAAATTAAAGATTTGAGGGATTGATGTCTATCTTTTAAAAGTTCTTTGTCAAAGTTTTTTTGTTTGTTTGTTTGTTTGTTTTTTTTTTTTGAGAGAGAGAGAGAGCGAATGAGTGAGCACAGGCAAGAAGGTGTGGGGGTAGAGAAACAGAATCGTTTTTTTTTAAATGTTTATTTAATTTGAGAGAGAGTGTAAGCAGCAGAGGAGCAGAGAGAGAAGGAGACAGAGAATCTGAAGCAGGCTCTAGGCTCAGAGCTGTCAGTGCAGATACCAATGTGGAGTCCATTGCAGGGTCCAGCATGGGGCTCGTACCCATGAACTATGAGGTCATTCCCTGAGATAAAGTTGGATGCTTATCCAGCTGAACCTCCTAGTTGCCCCAAGAGACAGACAGAGAGAGAGAGAGAGAGTGAGAGAGAGATAATTTTACCCCACACTGAATGTGGAGCCCTACACAGGGCTCAATCCCATGTCCCAGGATCATGACCTGAGCTGTAATCAAGAGTTGGACACTCAACTGACTGACCCACCCAGGCACCCCTTGTCAGGTTTTGACATAAAGTTATACTGGCCTCATTCAGTCATTTGGGAAGCATCCCAACTCCTCCTCCAATTTTTTTTTTTTTCAGAATACCTAATCATAAATATATTTATTTGTTCTTTAAAGGAGAAGAATGGTGAGGAAAATAGAAAGCTCACAGCTGAAATCAGAAGTCACAAGCTGAATTCGTTTGTCCAAATGACACTCAGCTCCTAAAAGTCAAACTTATAGAGGGATGTTGAGGAGGGACTAAGTTTGGTAATTTCCACCATGTGATCGTGGGGAAATCAGACACAGGCCAGTCACACAAGTCAATTAGTTGTCTGTGTTTCCTGAGCCCAAGTCCTCAAGGCTTACTATCTTCGTCATTGACGGCACCAAAGTTTGATGTTACATATGCAAAGAGAGACTCAAAGAGACACTCAAAAGAGTCATGGGTTTGCCCTCACTCAAAATTTGGGGGAATGACTTAGAACACTGGGAGGGACTCTTGTGGGTTGAGAGGAAACTTGCAGAGGTACTCCAAGTGAACTGTTGCTGTTGGGAAAAAGAAGTAAGGGGTCAGCTGGAACACAACTGGGGTAGCTCCCAAGTGGGGTGCAGGAGAGGATTGGCAGGGGCAGACCTTGGGAGAGATGTGGGCCATGTGGGCCATATGAGGGGAGCACTCAATGTCTGTTGTAGGTTGTGGGACTTGGAGGTGGTGACCTACAGGAGTGCTGTTTGCAGGAGCCATCCACAGAAATCCCTAGGATGAAGGTAGTGCCAGTGTTAATATCACCAATGATCACAAGGGCTTTTTTAAGGGTTTGGTATATCTCATCTCAGTGCTGAGGTTGCTCAGCAGATTCCTTCATCAGAGTATTTTGGTCCTGTAAAGAACCAAACTGTGCTAAGAGGTCTGAAGTTATAAAAATCTTTAACATTTTTGATTAGCAGGTGCATTATCATTTTGGGAATTTGATGTTGGCACATTTGTGGGTGGTAGACATGTAGGAATCTACCAGGTTATGAGTGGTATTTGCTTGTCTCTCCACTTGTGGGTCCATGGAAAAGTTTTCTGCTTGGCTCTTCTCATTATTTGCAGTAAAAGATTCATCAGGAGAAACCCCAGTTCTTAGTAGAGACGTCTTCCAGCTGCCTACATCCTCCTGTGAATCACATGCCAGCTCAAGGAAGCAACAGTCTTTGTATACAGCCCTTTGTTCTTTATTAAAGAATATACATATGTGTTTGCTAGGCATAAAGCTCTTGTCCACATCCCAGACTTTCAGGTTGTCCCAGGGAAATACATACTTCTTTGCTTTTGCCTTGTCATCTTTGTACCAGGACAAACTTTTGGGGTAAGTATAAACCAGTATCCTTTAAAGCCTCCTTTCATGATGCCACTGATGCTGATGGTTAGCTGCATCTTTCAAATTACTTAATTTCCAAATCTATTTTTCTTGTGAACCTGACTGATTCTCTGCTGAACATTTGCAAAGTTATGAAATCTTTATGATTAGTGTTGGTGTAGGAGACTGGATGTCAATCAATATCAGGACCTAGTACTTTGTCTTCCCTTCTGCTGTCAAATGTGGTCACCAATCATCCTTTCCATTTACTTGAAGAGTCTGGGGAAGTTTGCCAGTCTTTTTTTGTTTTGGTGTACTTTTTGACACTGTTGATAAATATTTGTTTTACCAGATCCACACACCTTAAGGAAGGGTTTGCAATTTGTTTCTTGACTATTGCTCAAAATGCCATGTCTCGAGTAAACAACCCTGTCCTGATACAGTGTATGTTTTTGATTGCATAGGTTATTTCTCTTCACAGTTATTTCTCATTGAACCCCATCTTTACTGTCTCAGAAGGAAAGCCTTCATAGAAAATACAATGGATTTAAAGCCCTTTGAGAATTCCAGGATAACTGCTTGATCCCCTCACACTGTGACTCTCTTCTCAAAGTCCACAGCAAATTGTTGACCTACCTACAGCAATGCTTTGGTCTTCCTGGTGGGCTCTTCTGGCTTGAAGTGTTTGTAGGCTCCTACTTCACATTCTGTCATTCTGTGGAGGACAACTGTCCTAATTTGTTCCTGAAATTTGGCAGATTATGTCAAATGTGGTTGGTAAGTTGCTGATTAAGGAACTTCTCCAAGTATGGGGTGCCCATCTGACTGGCATTATGTTTGTAAGCTGAATGTGAGAGAAACAATTTCCTTTCCTCCTTCCCATATATATTCTTCCAGCTTCTGTTTGCCATCATCACATAATCCCTGTGAAGGGGTAGCATCTTGTTCTCTAGAACATCTCTGGCATCTGTTTCTTCATCTATAAAGTCTAGTTTGGTGATGACTCCAGTAGTTTTCAGACCTTGAGAATCAAATTCTTTCCTTTCCTTTCCTTTCCTTTCCTTTCCTTTCCTTTCCTTTCCTTTCCTTTCCCTTTCTTTCTTCTTTTCTTTTCTTTCTTTCTTTCTTTCTTTCTTTCTTTCTTTCTTTCTTTCTTTCCTTCCTTCTTTCCTTCTTTCTTTCTTTCTTTCTTTCTTTCTTTCTTTCTTTCCTTCTTTCTTTCTTTCTTTCTTTCTTTCTTTTCTGACAGACACAGCATGAGTGGAGGAGGGGCAAAGGGAGAGGGAGAGAATCCCAAGCAGGCCCCGTGCTGTCAGCATGTGAGATCATGACCTGAGCCCAAACCAAGGGTCTGATGCTTAACTGACCGAGCCAACCAGGCACCCTGAGAATCAACTTATTTAGTTATCTTCCATGATCTTAGTTTGTAAGATTGGTATTGGCTGGGGTAACAGCCAGTATCAGTTCTCCTGCATGATGAACTGCGAAATCATTTCTCTGATTGGTGACTGATATGGTGACTGATTTCCTGTGGACACTTTATCCAGGTAGGGCGATAAGGATTGGATTTCACACATGTAGGGAATAGAGTCATAAATAAATTGGATTGGAGGAAATGTCTGCATTCCTTCTGGTCACCTGATCTTTTTCTGCTTCAATTTCATGGCACACACCATCAAAATCTGTTTTCCTGTGTAAAGAAATCCAGCATATTCTCCTCATAGTGCAGCACAAGAGACCATCTCATTGCAATGCCCAACCCCCAAGGGAGAATGTCCTAGATTAGCAGGTAATTATAAAAGGATAGGGAAGACCTGGATAGGGCAAGGTATGGGCCAAGTGCACAGAGCTTTGAAACCCTCTCCAGGTGTTCCACTCTTCCCAAATTTCCACCTCTTCACAAACCCAGAATCTTGCTCATTAAAAAAAAAATTAGGAGTGAAAATAAAATACTCAGACCACTCAGAAGAAAATTATATACAGACACATATATTTATATTTTATATATACATATGCA